GTGTAAGTTTACACCAGTATTCATGACCTTATGGGGGCTCAACCCATTGGAGGCAGAATATTGTGGGAGGGCGGAAACATACCTGCAGCCCCCCCAAAAAATATTTGAGCCGTTTCGGAAATACTTTCCCATCTCCTAAAGCTCAGACTTTTTTCCTCGCTTTGGGACGTCATCTCAACGTGAAAGGGATGGCTATATGAATGTAATTTATTGTTGTTTTTATTAATTTGGAGATTCACCTAAGCCTTTTCTGATGACTTCCTGCATTTCATGTTAGGAAGCTGCTGATCGCAGAGATGGGAAAGATTTAAAAAAATTCAATATCAGGAAGGGGGCCCCCTAAACTATTCTTGAACCAGGGCCCCTTGGCCTCGTTATATCGCTAAACCAAAATAAGGTATTATTTTATCAGCTTGAACACTAATAGACCTACTGTATGTACAACATTAAACAGGAAGCAATACAATCTCAGGATCACGCCAAATCACAAAACAACTAATTGTGGAGACTCAGAAACCATGGCAACACAGAGTCCTTCAGATCTCCAGAAGATCTTCACCTACATTTCTGTTTGCACTGATTTAGTCGGGGATTTTACAATGGACTCTATTGGGCACTGACCAATTTGACGTCAGCTTGCCGTGGGCTCAGAACCATCTGAAACAGTTTCAGGTTTGAATGGCACAATTGATCCGTTTGAATGATTCACTCACTCCGCAGACCCCTTAATAAATTGTTAAGATTTTTTTTTGCATGGAGGCTATTCATTTTCATTGTATCGTACATATATGGTACTTTTCTATTTACCTGCTTGAAGGAATAAGCACTTCTTCTCTGATAACGTATGATTGCTCATGCTTTGTGAATGGTTCAGGAACTGCTGCAAAAGCAGGCACAATGCAAAGGTGAGGGTTGCTTTCTACCAATTGCCTACTACTGAAGTGGCAAAAGACTGGAACAAATGAAATAACATAAACTGTCTCAGAAGGCCACAGATGCAGGTATAGGTGATCAAGAGAGAGATGGAGAGATACTTGATAAGTGAGGATATTAAGGGATATACAGAAAAGACATGGAAGGGAAATTAAAGAGTTGCTATAACCTTAATTAGTTGCCATCTTATCAGAGAAGATCAACAGACTGAATGGCCTAATCCTATGTTTTACTTATGGGTGAAACTGACTATAGCGTGATAGCTGCCCAGCTGCCCCAGAGACTCCCAAACCCATCCACCTGTGACGAAGGGACCAGAGGCTGTTTGGTAGCGCACACTTCAGGAGGAACTTGTTGCTAGAGATGGAGGCAGGTGGCTAAACACATTAAAGAGTGGGGGAAGGGAAGGAGAGGCTTATCTGCAGCTGCAACTTAATAGATCGAGCATGGAAGGTACAATACCCATTTGATCGAGAGGCATCAACCACAAGGTGATTGAAGCGTGCAGGTTACTTTATTAATGATCCAGACCTTTCACTTTCTCTCCCCTCTTGTATTTGGTCAGCATAAAAACACTTGTAGATGCAAGGGTAGGAACTGGAAATTGCATTGCTGCTTTGCATCAAGCACGTAGCGGGGAAAAAAGACAAAGCCACAGGATCTTCACAGCCTCAGGGTATTTCAACAATAACAATTTACATTTATAAGGTGCCTTTCATGTCGGGAGGATATCTCAAAGCACTTCACACAGCTGACTAGGCAAGGGGAACTGAGGAGGATGGGGTGGGAGAGTGGAGGAAGAAAGATGAAGCATGATTGAAGAGATAGGTCTTAAGGGAGGCTTTAGCAGTATTTAACAGGGGAGAGAAGGGGCGAGTTCCAGAAAGTGAGGGTAGAATCGTCAAAAGCTCACCCACCGATAGTGGGGCAGATCGGGTGGGGAACACAAAGCAGTTTGTTAAGCGGAATAACCGGGCGGGGCGGGCAGAGTTGCAGGAAGATAGGGTGCGGCGAAGCTGAATAGGAGGACAAGGATCCTGAATGTCAACTGCTTTTGGGACTCATTCTGTTCAAGACGGTTCTGAAGAAAGCTGCAAAGGCAAAACGTGGCATGAATGGAGAAATGGGAGAGGGGGAGAGTGGGGAAGGTGGGGGGTGGGTTTCCAGCCACTGAGCCAGTTCTGGGTATCTGTCATGGTCTCGGGCCAAGCTGGGTTTCCAACTGCATTACCGGTGGAACATCATGATGACTCAGATTTGATGCATTCACAGAAACAACTCCAGGATTTCTTTTTTTTTAAAAAGAAGTTAAAAGCTGTGGTTCCACAACACAGCGTGGCTGTTGACTCCGTGCATTTGTTTTTTTTTAAAAAAATTATCTTGTTCCAATTAATTTGTTTTTTTCAATTATTATCTTCCTCCAATTCTTTCCTCTGTTGAAGGCAAAGGCTTGTGACAGGGGGTATGATTTCAAGGGCAGGAATGGATCTTCAGTACTGTGGCCATTCTTCACCTCTGATCTTAGATCCCTTCTATCAGTTCTCACTGAAGGAACAATATTAGAGTTTTGTTTTGTTGTCTCTGCTAGCCATATAATGGCAGTACAATCGTAAGAAGAACCAGGGAAGACTAAAAAGCCTGATGTTTAGTGCAGTGGAGCCTTTGAGGCTACATTTATTTAGCCTACCTGCGAAAGTCATCGACGGAAGTGGAAATTATGGGAAGTGTCCCATTCGTTTCCTTTATTCTTTACCTATAAAGTCGCCTGCTTTTCGAGCACATCTCCTGACTGATGTTGACACTATTTGGGTCGTGGAAATTGTAAAACAAATTCTAAAAGCATTTTCGTGCAAGAGTCTTGACAACAGACTGTGTGGAGCAGACCATTCGGCCCGCTGTGCTGGCTCTCTGAAAGAGCTAACCTGATCACGCCAAAATGTTCGTGTGCAGAAAGACGTTCATTGTACGTCATCTCCCATAGTGTGGAGGCCGCGGCCAAGGCCTGACATGTGACAGCGTCTCTTTCACGACATATATCAAGACTGCAGAACAGTAAGGTGATAAACGATATTAGACAGCAAGTGTCAGCCAGCCATTCAACGTGGGAGTTGAATGCATCTACCAGCAGGGCTCCCTGGTTAGCGATCTGAAGATGAAGCTTAAACAAGCCCAGCAATGGGATGAGGAGTGGGGGATACACATCAGCCCCCGCTCCACAACTGCTTTACTGCTGTTATGCCTTAATTTCCAGTAGTAAAGCATTGTGGAGGGAAAGAAGGAGAATAAAACAGCTGCAGTTAACCTGCAATGCACAAAACATACAGCTGCAAACAGAAAACCTCTATTAAGTAGATACGAATTTTAAAAGCTGTCATGAGGAAACAGTGCTTAGCTATCAGGCTAATCCAAGTTGCTGAGCTGAGGGCAGTTTGCCTTTGATATGTGCTGGATTTACGTTCTGCCTAGTTGTGTGCTCTTCAAAAGCACAGGCCTAACTTTCACAAAGAAACCAGCAGCAAGCAGAAAGGAAGTCAAATATAGAGAGGACACAATGGTTCCAAAAAAAATAAAGGAAACAAATGAGACACTTCCCATAATTTCCACTTCTTTCGATGACTTTCTCAGGTAGGTTAAACGCTGCTTCAAAGGGCTCCGCTGCAATAAACGTCAGGCTTTGTAGTCTTTGCTTCACATGAAAGGCTGTGCCAAGCATTGCAAATCCTTTGCGTCTGATTGACTGGATTGTATGCAAATAGCAATAAAATTCACCCGATCGTGGTGGGGTAGATTGATTCAGGCCACGGTAATATCAGAAGCTACTAATGACGGATCAAAAGCACAATGCTGTGTGTGAGGATGGAGGAAAAGGGTATCATAAATGAGCCTGATCAGGGAAGGGAAAAAGTGCTCAACCATTGGGTTCTTAACCAATGTCAGTATAGACACTTAGAGCAGCATTTACTAGATAGCTATGAGAACCATAGAACAGCATAGAAGAAGCCCACTTGGCTCATCGTATCTGTGCTAGCTCCTTTAAGAACAACCTTTTCAATCCCACATACCTGCCCTTTCCCCAAACCCCAACAGCTGACTCCTTTTTCAGCATTTATCTAGTTCCCTTTTGAAAGCCAATATGGATTCTGCCTTAACCACAGTACCTGTTAGGGCATTGCATATCTTAACTACTGTGTGTAAAAATAATGTGTAAAAACAATAATGTGTAAAAAAAAACTATTTTAAGTTGGTGCCTTCCAGTAACTGATTCATCAACCAGGAAAGGGAACTCTAGGGATTTATTCCTCTCCCTAATTTAGGGATCCAGAGTGTATTGTAACCTTCTTATTGCTGCTTTGACTGAGATCACCTAACTCACGACGTAGAGAGGAGCAGAACCAGGTCTGTTGTCTTGGTGTCAATGCCGATTTTAATAAATCCGAAAGGTTCTTATATCAATGAATCACTGCAGTTACTCCACAAGTCCTATGTAAGGTTTTTTTTTCTCTGGCACTCATGTTTGATTTGCATCACTAGTGCATGCTAATGGAAAAAATATTCATGTCAAAGAAAGACATGCATATCAAAGATCTGTTCAATCTTTCTGATAGCACTTCAGCTTAGTTACCCAAGGCACATTCTCAGATCTTAAAAGAAATGCATATATCTGGTCTTTTTTCCCCAGGAGTTGAGTCGTTATTTAATATTCCTATTGGCTCTTTGCATTTCTAAGACAACAATCTTATTTGTACATTCGGTGGAATAACAACAGGATGCAAATAGAGCTACCTAACATGGACAGATCTGTCTCCCAAATGTGACTCCACCAAGCCAGTTACATTGTAGTGCTTATGCCAAAAGGGTGTTCAAAAGTGGTGTTGGTGTCTCCAGAGCCACTGTGTACCCTGCTCTGGGGCTTTATCAATCAGTGAAGAAAGGCCTAACGATTCTTCCCCTGCCTCTGGTGGCATTGGCAGTCTCATGCAATGTATTTTATCCCTGTTTCAAAGTTTCCTTTCCTCTCCAATGGTCTCACCAACACAACCCTATGAGTTCAAAAGCGTGTATCCTACCTTGCCCACAGAACTTGAGCTCCTTCACATCTGTCACTGTCGTGGTAAAGAGTTTCTCTGGAACTTTTTTACTCATGCGGTTATAGTTCCGCCTTTTCTTGGTTTCGCCCCAAAGGTTGGAGCCTCCGTGCATGCTCGGGATGTTGAGGATCGCGATTCCTTCCAAAGCTGTGTTGCTCAGGTCCAGTACAATTCCATCACACTGAGAAAAGATGATGACAAAAAATATTTATTTACCTAAACTCGACCAAGAACCTTGCAAAATGAAAGGGCAAGTACAGGATCAGCTCAGTCATATAGTTTCAGTCTGTTAAACAATCTGGGTTTTCAACAGAACAGCTGGATAATGGCTCATGTTGTCTTCATTATCTGGCCTTCATCCACACTGAGGAAGAAAAATGGTATGCTCACCCTTGAGATCTGAACTGAGCTGAGGTTAATCCCATTCAGCTTCACATATGCACACTTGAGCAATACAGTCCTGTTAGATAAGGCATTCATTGTGACCCAAATACTGGCAACGAACAATCACTGAAATAAATAACAGCGCCACAAGCAATCATTGAGATAAATAGTAGTGCAACAAGGGTGGAACACTCACTAACATTTTGTGTCAGCTTGGCTCATTTAGTACCACTATGAGTTCAGAGTCTATGCTGATACGCCAATACAAGTTGTTGGTTGTTGTTGACACTCCAATGCAGTGCTAGGGGAGTGCAGCATTGTTAGAGGTGACATACTTCAAATGAAACATTAAATCGAGGTGCCTTCCGCCTGTAATGGATACTAAATACACTTTACAGAAAAACTCTGATGCACTTTTGAGACATTTGGCTTTATAAAGCGCTATATCACATACAAGGATTATTTTTATTTTATCCTTCTGAAGGCTTGCATTTTACCAAAACACTTTAAGCAAAATAATAATTATTCAGTCTGTGCTGGTGCTGAGAATTAGCAGGTCAATGCATGGAATTAGTTGTGTTACTGTGATCTTCTGCACAGTGGGCTCTAAGCATGATTTCTAATGAAATTCTTTAATAAAGAATCTAAGTAATGCAGATAGGTACTAATTCTGGTAAATGGAAGTACATCACACCAATCTTTGATCCAATGCAATCTTCCTTTGAAACAGAGCAACAATGGTTTGGTTGGAATTTGTAATAAATAAAAGAATCCTTGCATTTTATACAGAGCCTTTCATGTTGAGAGGGTACATCAAAGCGCTTCACAGGATGTACTGTGAAGTGTAACTATTTTATATTTTGCAGGCAAACGAGATTCCTTAACAAACAATTCTGCATTTCAGATCCTTGTGAGTTCCCAGTTTCAGGCCTGTCGCAATAATAATAATAATTACAATCCTTGCAATTGATATAAAGCTTTTCACGTCAGGAGGCTGTCTCAAAGCGCTTCACAGGATATACTGCAAAGTGGAGTGACTGTGTGTTTTTGGGTTAATAAGGAATGCTAAGGTGAGCATTTAGCAGATAGCCACTCAAAAGGATTGAAGATCACAGCATGCTATACACCCTGGGTGTTCTTTTCACTTATTATTTTTATTAATAACAATAATAATTCTTACATATAACACCTTTCACATCTGCCTGTTCCAAAGCATGATTCACAGGAAATACTGTTAAGTGGACTATAAAATGACTATTTTTTGGGCGAATGAAAAACTGAGAGTTTTAGACAGGGACAGGGAGAGGTGGAGGGGAACAGGTTCCTTATTTCTGCCTTCTCAGCTCACAAATTCCACTTTTTTAGTTTACATTTTCATTGCACCTAAAAACAAAGTGCCTCAAAGTTAGTTACAGTTGCATGTAGTGACTGACTTTTCAGGCAAATGTGGCAGTCATTTGTATTAAAAGGGACCCAAACTATCACGAATTTTAAATGACCAATTAATTTGGGTGTGTAGAACAACACCTTTTAAAGATGGGAATAATGAAAAGCTTTCCACTACCACTTTAGGATGTAAACCAAATGAGGAGTAAATAGGTCTTTCACTGGACATATCCACAGTTGTTGAATTTGCTCTAAGCTAATATTAAGTTAACCATACCAACCAACTTGATTCATTTCTTATCACTATCTATAGATGCACTGTGTAACTAAACTATTATGTGACTATCTCAAGATACAAAGAGGTCGACAAGAGGTCAGTCAATACTCGATTCAAAGGGTGGCAACACACACGATCACCACAAAGTGACCCTAGATTAGTATCTGCAAGAGACCATAATCATCCTTGGTCAAGCAGAGCTGGAAATGTGAGCACGAACCTGCTATGGTGTAATCTCAGGATAAAATGGATAATGAAACCATCTCTTTTAAGGATTGAGAAGATAAGGGGATTCACAAGGAGGAGGATATATTGAGCTGAAGGTCATGTGCTCATGTCAATCATTAATGATCGAGCATAATCTTCCTTGTGAGCAGTTCTTGCACTTGGTGCGGATAACTAGAGGTTGTGCTGGGAGTTTCCATCCTACAGACCTTTGTTCATGTGATTCAAACTGCAATACCACAGTAAAACTTACACAAGCATGATCTGTATAAATCATATAATTGCATGATCTGTATAAATCATATAATTGCCTGTTTGTGGGACACTGCCGTGCACAATTGGCTGTCACATTTCGCCCACAAAATATACAGTCAATTCACTTTACAGTATATTCTGTGAAGAGGTTGAGATGTCTCGAAGACGTAATAAGGCATGATATCAAATGCACGTATTATTATTGTTTCTTGTCTATCTAAGTCCCGTTCAAGAGTTTATATTCTCTGCAAGTTTGACATACTCATACTTTGCAAAAGTCATATTAAATGTATGGTCCCAACTGATACGATTTATGTCAGATTTAATGTACTGGTAAGGTTCTTAACCTCTGGAGATTAGGATTTATCAAATTCCACGCAGGGTCAACAGCAGGGAGATGTACGTTTGAGTCAGGCTTCTGGCGCCATACCCACCTGATCTTTCGTAGCGTAAATACCCACTACATTTCAAGCAAAGAGCTATATTGATTGAAAATTAAACTTTGGGGTTTGAGCGATGAGATACGGAGGCTCTTCGTTTCACTACTTTGAGCTCAACAAACATGAGGTAGAATGGATTTCATACACAGTAAAGCCCTGGCTCTGGTTATCTGGAATTCAAACCAAGCCAGAGCGGGCCAGAAACCCCCAAATTAAAAAAAAACACTTCTGCAGGCCCATGTGTAACCTTCCAACTCTCCTAGTGAGCCCCAACAACACCCTGAGCAACTTATGCGATTGCTTTCCCCACCTCACCTTCCTTGCTAGCCTTCATAGTGTCCGTGTATAGGCCAGCTCGGTGAGCGAAGATTCAAGCAGAAGATAATTTATTTGTGCATTAAATAAAACCAGTGCCGCAAAATGCTGGTAACTACATTTAGCTAGAAATTCCGGCTCGCCGGACAAGTTCTCCCACACCACCCCCGCGCCCCACACACACACGTCAGTCCAGCTGGATGGGGTTTATCTGAATATAATTTTTATTAGAGGAGTCAAGGTAGGCTGGAATAATGCCAGGACATTTAGTTTTTGGTGTGTCTGTGGGTTGGGGGAAGGTTTGCGGTATGATCTTTAAGATTGTGGAAATCATAGACCTGTCTGGTATTTGCAGCATGGTTAAATTGTCTATTATATATCTGTATTAGTTAATCATAAGATATGTTTGTCATCTGTCTGTCTTTCTGTCTCATCTCTCTTTCAGCCAAATGAATTCTTAATGCCACTAGTTGTGATGCTGTGCTTTTATAATCAAAGCTAAATTGTATTTTTAAGGAATGTGTGACATTTCAATTTTCCAAGGGCCCCAGATTACTGAGATATATTGCCGCATTGAAAAATGATGAAAGGAGACAAACAACACAATTTACATTTATGTAGTGCCTTACACATCATAAGGATGTTTCAAAACATATTCACCTGAGTTGGGGGTGGAAGCCAAGGGGGGTGGGCAGGACAAAGATGACCGAAAGCAAGGTCGAAGAGGTACGTTTTGAGATGTGTCTTGAAAGAGGTGAGGGAGGAAATGAATTGGAGGCACTCTGGGATGGAGTTCCAGAGAGCAGAGGCAGAATAACTGAAATCTTGCCTGCTGGAGGTGAGGCTGGTAGGATTCACTGAGGCAAGGGAGTGATCCAGACGGTGTGATTAGAGGAGGTCACAGATGTAGAGTGGGGCGCAACTGTGGAGGCATTTGAATATGAGGACAAAGATATTGAACTCAATCCACTGCGGGATGGGGAACCAGTAGAGCTGAGTGATGATGGGGCAAAAATCTAGTGGGGCCTGGAGTGGGAGAGGGCAGAGATCTTAAATTACAAAGATCACAAAGAATTTAAAGAATTGAAACAGGCCATTCAGTTCACTGAGTCTGCGCCATTGTTTATGCTTCACACGAGTCTCCACCCATTCTTTACTCCCTCCCATACTCTTCTATTCTCCTTCATGTGAAGATCTAGTTTCCTCTTGAATATATCTAAACTATCTGATTCAACCATCACTTCAGGCAGTGAGTTCCACAATCTCACTATCGTCTGAGTGAAGTATTTCCTCCAAAATTCTCTTTCAGATTTTATGGTAAAATAGTCCACCAGACAAAGACTTGATGGAATGTAGGGCATTTTTAGATTCACAGTATTGCAGCCAGTTTTATACAGTAGATATGTGAGATTAAATTTCTGAAGATTAACTTAACAATAATAAAAGCAAATAAACATTGTACAGTATTTTGTGCTGTCGTCTAAAGATACAAACAGGTCACCAGGAATCCTGACAGCTATAAAAGTGATTACTTGGTTGGTTGCACTCTGTGTGTTGCTGTTGGCACACCTTCTGATCTGCATTATTCAAATTGTGTATAAAATGAATGCAGTGGGTATCAGCAAACAACCCTGAAGCAGGAAGCATCAAGTCTTTCAAATAACTTGCATGCCAAAATGCACAAATCGTTAAAATGCTCTCCCCAGAGAAAATTGGTCATGGCTGATTCTGGGACACTACTGTGCATAAGTTGGCTGCCTCATTCGTCTAAAGAATACACAGTCACTACACTTTACAGTAAATATTGTGAAGTACTTTGAGATGGACTCCTGACGTCAAAGGCCCTATATCAAATGCAACGATCATTATATTAATGAGTGTGTGTGTTTGTGCATGGGC